GCTGTTCTCCTCTCTAGAGGATGCAGTTGCCAATATTAAAAAAATGAACACAGATTCTTTCATGGAGGATAATAAAAATGTGTAAGATAATACAGGCCACATGCATAGATGGTTGGTATACGGCTTTTCTCTTTGTGTATGGAATTGTTGCTCGTATCATAGAACAGCCACTATCATGGAACAGCTACATGGAAATATTCAGTATTAGTCACTTAGGAGTGAGACCAGTTCCTCTGATCTCATTAGTTTGATCATGATTATTCCATTTTAACATGGTGTTTGTAAAGGTGTTTTCAGTAGATTGTGCACTTACAAGGGCATTTTGTGTTTTATTATTTTCTAATCAGCAACAGAAAAGAGAAATTCATGCTATAAAGCTTTCTTTTCTCTTATATTGAATATACATAAAGCCTAATGAGCGATATAGAGCAGGTTTTAACTTTTGTCCATTTTTATTTTACAAGTTTTGAAAATTGAATGACATTTGAGTTTCAGATTTTCCTCTTCACACTGATATATTTGAAAATGCTAGTACATACTCTCGGGATAAATGTAAAGAAATATTTATAATGTCATGCTGTTGTATAGACTGATACTTAGTATGAGAACTACATTTTGACTTGGTGCAAACTTGCATTCATCTCAATGAACAGTTGCAGAATTATGGTGAGCATGCTTGTATTCAGGACCCTATTCTTGGCTTTGATACCAAAAAAAAAAAAAAAAAAAGAATGCTATTTCTCCCTTTTAAAAAATGCCTTAAAAAATCTTGAGATCTCTCTGATTTGAAGAAAAGGATGAAGCCTAGTTAGCATTAGCAAAAAATGCAAGATTAAGTCAGTAGTTTCATTTAGATAGATGTAGCTAAGAATTGTTTTTGTTTTTGTATGTGCCCAGCACCACCCTTTTTTGGTACACCGTTTTTCACCAGTTCCAGTAGTGTGGGCTGCCAAAATCCACACCATGGAGCTCTGGGTGACGTGACTAAAGCTTGCCCAATCATAGTGCCCATATGCCTTGTCCTACTGATTGCTCTAAAGGTTAGTACCTCACCCACACTTGGCATACCTTGGATGCTTCCATTTTGGAATCTTGAGAAAAAGAGATTTGGGATTTGGGGCCTTTACAATTAGAAAGAAAGAAAATGGAGACAGGCAGTAGTCAAGTAAATAAAGCCAATCAGAGGTAAGAGGAAATGAGTGCCTAGGAGGAAGAGGACTTTAGTTACTTCATCTCTCAGTTCTGGTGGAACAAAATTGCCCTTTTGTTTCCAGTATCTTTCCAAAATAACCCCTTTACCCCCTTAAATCTTACTTTAAGTTAAAAAGGGTCCTGTCTAGTGAAACTGACAAGAATCCTTAATCAACAGGATACTTGTTCTCATGTAAATGTGTTACTACTTCTAATATTCTAGGTATCTCCTCTTAAACATTTCATGACTTCTACAAATAACTTTATTTAAACAAAGCTTACATAAACTGAAATCTTCACTGATAAGGCAACGGCAATTTTAATTTTTGCTGAATGATCATAGAGCCTGAATTAAGAAACATTCAAATTATAAAGTGTGTATATTAGTGATGGTATATTTAAATGGTGTCCATAACCTTGCTTGGAGCTTCCCAGGTGACTCAAAAGGTAAAGAATCTGCCTGCAGTGTGGGAGATCAGGGTTCAATCCCCGGATCAGAAGGATATCCTGCAGAAGGGAATGGCAACCCACTCCAGTATTCTTGCCTGGAGAATTCCATGGACAGAGGAGCCTGGTGGGTTACAGTCCATGGGGTCACAAAAAGTCAGATACGACTAAAAGACTAACACACACACACAACCTTGCTTGGATCCTGGCCCCGACTTGCAATATTATGTATTTTTCTCTCTCTACTTTTCAAATCAAACTCATTGGCTTACTCCATCCCCTTGAAATCAGATTTTGCAGGCTCCTGGCTTTCCTCCAAAAGTCTTTCATTGTTTCACAAGCCATCCTTGTTTTCAATTCATCCTTCTTTATCCACTGTGTAAACTAGGTGGACCTGAATACTTAGAAAAAATCAAAAGCATTTGGTTGTTATTAGAGTAAGGATAGCTGACTCACACATGTAAAGCATTAAAGAAACCTTACAAATGTTTAAGTGACTTTTTTTCTGTTGTTGTTTGGGGCTGTGGGGCATTTAACCACATCCTGCCAAGCACACAACACGTGAGCGTCTCTCTTAATTACCAGGTATAGTTTTAGGCTAATAAAACAAACAAGGACAATATTTTTATTTTCTTTACCCAGTATTTTTATTGATTTATTTAAATGTAACATACTATACACTGTTCAGCCTTTTGGGAGGTAGAAGCAGGGAGGGAATCTATATCTTTATGAGGAGTCTCCTTGAAATCAACACTCAGATGGATACACATTTGTGACTGATGCACCTTGATATTGTAGCCAGGGTTCACACTTCCTACAGAGGCAGAGCTACCAAAATCATGATTAAAAAAAAAAAAGCAAAACATTCAGGACTGGAGCCGTTTTTCCTTCAGTAGCACAATCTAGCTGCAAAGGGGACCAGAATTCTATCTCAATATCAAGCAAAGATGCCATTTTAAATGCAGGAGAATCTCATTACTCTTTACCAAACTGTTTCTGTCTTTTTTTCTGTCCATGTGTGTATTCTGGGGGTGAGGCAGGGGAGAGGTAAAGGAGATGTTTTCTATTTTTGGCTTCTGCAAGCTTTGATACATTTTGCTAGAAGCTGTTTTAGTGTTTTGAGTACTATGATGATGACTGTTTACACATAGTCTCTTGGTAATCTAAATGGCTATGTGAAATACGAATCCAGTTTGTGCCCTATTTGCTGTTACCATGGTCATCTAATACTATATTTGTCTCACCAAACATTTAATTTTGGTTGTGGGTGGTCCATGTTCATGTGTCAGGTGCAATTATTATTTTAAAATAAAACAACAAAGATAATCTAGTTCTCATAGGAATGCATTACAGTATAGCTTTCAGACTCAGTTACCAATTAAATTTTAACATACAGATTCCAACCACAAAATTAAACATTTTTAGAATCCCATTTGTCAAAAAGCAAGTTGGAAGCCAAGTACCATAAAATGCAAGTTTAGCCATAAGCCAAAACATTCTGCCTCAAATGCATTTCCTTTGAAATTCCAACTTTTGTAAGGAATGAGAAAAATATGATCTTTAATGGAATTACTTTATGAGAAAGTTTCTTAATAAAGCTAATTTTTCAATAACAGATTAACTGGAAGTGTTGGTTAAGCATCGACACAATTAAGTTATTAGAGAAGATGATAAAACACCAGACTTGCTAGAGCTTAAACTTTAGTAAAAAGACACATTTAGTAAGTCTTTCCTTTGTACCAAAATACTGTGTCAAATAATAAAAATAAACAGACCTTTTCAAAATAAGAAATATTAAGATAAAACTGCAGTATCAATATAATCTTATAGTTATCACTTAAAGTATTTAGAACAAATAGTATTTTTCTACACTTTTAAAAATCACTACAGACACTGCAAATAAGGTTTAAGTATTTATTTAGTGGAATACAATGTGATGATGACTGGTACGCTTTTCTGTACTGTTTTCTATACCTGCTCTAACAAAATGAATTTCAATAAGGTTACATTATGGAACCCTCCAAAGCTCTTTAAATTTATAGAAAATAAGTTTTATTTGGTTTTGTAAAGGCTAGATCATACCATTTGAACAAATTTCAGCATATAGTTACACATATACCAGGATATATTTGCTCAGTTTAAGCCCCTGTCGGGGGTGGAGGGGGGGTGAGGGTTGCACTTCATACCAAATTCCTTGATAGTTCCTGTGGGGGAGATACACTATGTGAGACCTGTAAAGTGTTCTTACATAGGCAGACAGCCTCTTCATCATTTACCACTGTGACATATGGCAAAAAATCATTAGTAAATAATGAGCCTATGCTACTAAAATGTATTTGACAATTAATTTTCTTTCTTTTACTATACTTTTGGAGGCCCAGTGATTTATTAAAAGAGAAAATTTGGCTTTTTGGTCTATTGCTTAAGAAAGGAAGCTTTAGGAGTGATGTATGTCTTTAAATGATGGCAGATATCTCTCACTCAGGCCATGTTGTAGTATTGTCATGTTTATTGTTGATGGTTCTTTATGGCAGAAGTGCAGATTAAGTCAACAGATAGCACATGGGGCACTCACACTCTTTTCCCAATTTTATCTCCTATTCTTGAAGTGTTTGCCAAGGTTTAAAAACACTTTGTCATGAATATGCATGTGGTGTGCTAAAGAAAAAGAAAAGGTAAAACAGAGAGCAGCTGCTGAGGATACTCTTTAAAACCCCAAAAGATATTTAACATCCTATTAAATAAATAACTTAGAAGGAAATAGAAAAGGATGAAGGCAGAATGCACAAGCATACCATTGCTATTTGTTTGGTTAGAACAGTTTTACACTACCATGTTTATATTTATCAATCCTATCCGATTCTTCCATGACGTCACGCGCAAAGCTCCTTTGGTTGTGCATACGATATGACCCAAGTGCTTTCCAGTAAATGCTTGCATGTCTTACTGCTCATTGAATCATTAGGCTTGAATGAGCAATGAAAGTCTTTGATATGAGTTCGTATTCCATAAATAACTTTCCCGAAGATCATTCAACAGATTGTTCCTTGTCCTTTCAGAGGAGAAAAACAAAAACATAAACAAAAACTTAACCCCAAAACAGCCACAATATTGTTCACTTGGGAATAAATTCCATCCATTTGATCTGCTTATATTGTGATCACAAGGCAGGACACAGAACTAATTAAGAGAACATCATATGTCAGTAGAGAGTACAAAAACCTTCAAAGGCTTCCTTTCTTTCAAGCAAGCAGACATTTGCAATGTGTCTTTGCCTTGTGAAGTACTGTCTTCATAAAGAACACCAACCACGCCTCATAAAGAGCCTTTGGTCCTACTGCATCTGCAAACATTGCCTTCTTCTATGAGTGTACTACCATAGGAAGAAAATGAGCTGAGGTGTTTTTCCTTCGTGTTTTCTGTCCTCTTCTAGGAGCTCCTTTTCCATTCAGTGCCACATACATTTGCCTCCCATTGTGCTGCCAGTTAAAAGATGCATAGGTATTGTATCCATTTTCCTCTATCCTCTCCTTCAGCTTACAGTCATTATTAAATTCTTTCTGCAAGGGAAAAAGAAAATCTTTTATTCCTGTGGTGATGACACTTGATTCCATTTTACACAAACCATCCAGAGAACTCCACTTCCTTGGTTTTATTGCTTTTGACATCTGTACATAAGTTGTGTGCTTAAACAGAACATCAACAACAGAAGAATAAAACAAAAAGACAAAACATTCTACACACGATTTACTTTAATCGATCATCATAACCACATTTGGGGCCATTTTAAGGAGCTGATGTGCTTTGAGTATGACATGTTTAAGTGCCTAGAATGATTATTAAGAAACAACCATTCTAGTAACAATGTTTATGATGAACAAATAATAAAGAATGTTATTATCATCCTTTTTTTTTTTCAGAGTAATAATTGAGTTTCCATGGGAAAAACAGAATTACAGGGAAAAGGTGGGCTTATCAAGTTGGCAAAGTTTATTTACCTATAAATCCACAATAAATATATATACATTGTTAAGAAACCAGATCTTAAAACAAAACCATAATAGCTCTAGATAAACAAGAGGCCTTGGGAGTAGGGATATCCTTCTTTTCCAAATACCAGATTTCTCAATTTTGTAAATTATTCACAATTTTCCATAACTAGGAATTTTGACCAACTTTACTCTGAGGTTTAGGAATAGTTGAACAGTAGGACATGAGACAACCCTGCTTTGTGAATTTCTGTGTCAGAGAAACTACAAATCTGGTGACTAGCACAGCTTATATAGTATAAGTCTGAAGATTTGGACCCTGAGAAATTCCACTTTATAGCCATAGTCTTTTGGCTTCATTTCAAATGGCAAAGTTTTTTTAAGGAGATCTTCTGTGACAAAGATCAGTATCTCTTTCATTTCAGAAATCTGGATTGTAGAAATCCAGCTTTTCTCTCAGGAGTGAATAACAAAAAGGAGATACCTTACTAATCTCAAAACTCTGACTTCAGATACATTCCTTTTCCTTTATACCCAAACTAAAGCAGTTAAAAAGGAACTGGGGCTTTTTTTCTTCTGGGGCTATCTTCTCTATGGAAACCAAGGGCATCTATCTATCTACCTATCTATATAAATACATCTGAAAACTATAGGCATCTTTCGGTTGAAACCTCTACTGTGCAGTTCAGTATTTCTCACTTCGGGACTTTTGGAAATTTTGACTATGTGTATATTTAAATAATTCAGGTTTCTGCAGACTAGATCCGAATTTTGAACATTATCAGAACCATAATGAGCAGGTATAGTTTAATGTAATCAGTTTAAGCTTTGTTTTCTGGAATCTATCCTCTATGCTTCTCTTCTATAAAGAATATTTAAATGTAATGTTCAAGTGATGACTTATTTGGCTGAAAGTAAGAAGAAAAGAAATTATTTAAGGTAATGATATTAACATAACAAAAAATTATGCATTAGAGATGATCTGAATTCTTAATTTGAGTTTATTTTTTCTCTTAATTCATCCTAGTCTGTCTGAAACTATATGGGCTTAAAAGCAAAGAGGATTTTTTTACATGAGCAATTATATTTTTTCAATAAAGAAGGTATAGTTTAGAGACTATGGAAGAATTTGTATTTGAAATGGAGCTTTATATAAAAAAGTATGAATGGATGCTAAATTTATTTTTCCTTAAAAATTAATTTATAGAGAAACATTTCTGAAAGTGAATTATACTTGTATCAGACTCCTCATCTCTGGTGTTTAGACCACTGAATATTTAGATCATTGGTCAAATTTTTCTATCAGAATCTCTGGAGGAGACCTAGGAATCTATAGTTGTTTACAGCATTTAGGTGAATAATAAATATTAAAGGTTTTAAAAAAATCTAGGCTAGAGCAAGATCTCAAAAGTAGAGTTTTGGTAGTTTAAAAAAGAGTTTTAGATTTTCTCAGGATTACCTGGGAAATTTCTTCAGTTTTTAAACCATGCCCTATAAGAGCTTATTCTATATAATTCAGTTTTACAAACTATCATTATTTACTTAAGTCAAACCATGCCCTATAAGCGCTTATTCTATATAATTCAGTTTTACAAACCATCATTATTTACTTAAGTCCATCAGTCAGGAGATAACTCAATATACAATATAATACAATAGACACATTGAAGGCAAATAATGAAAATATAAGGGAGATATGTTTCCCAAAAGGGAATCAAGGAAAGTATTTAAGAGAATAGAATTTATAGAGCTGGTTTAATTAATCACTTTAGGCTTTTACCTAATTGCTATTTTCAAAAAGGCTATGGAATCAATGGAAATTATCTGGAAAAAAATACAGAGGGATTATGAGTTGTCACCTGATGAAAAGTGAAAATGAAAGTTATTTGTTCAGTCATGTCTGACTCTTTGCAACCTTAGGGACTGTTGCCCGCTGGGCTCTTCTGTCCACACAGAATTATATAGAATGTGTACTCATGAATAATTTTGGTAGCTCCTAGTCCTATTCTGCCCTGAATAAGACACTGAATTTTAGTAGATTTTTAATTTAGTTTTGAAGAAGCCATACTTTTTTACTCTTCCTGGTGGTAATGCAAAATAGAAAAAACAGTGCACAATGATTAGAGAAAGAGCTCATTTCTGAGACAGGCTAAAAGTGGAGTGTGTTAGCTGTGATGGGTTGAACTACTTGGAGAGGTGGTTTATGCGTTGTACTATCTGTTTATTGTATGGTTCCGAGGGCTGAAAAAACCATGTGGGACAAGGCAAGCCTTGTCCTCTCAAATTTCACAATCTACTCTGAGAAGACAGTCAACAACAAGCACATTATTGAGAGAAATATCTGATAAATGCCGTTGGAGATCATTAAAATGGTATGATGTGATAGAAAGCAACTGGGCATCTACGTTAGAAATAGAGAATGAAATAAGTCACAGGTCTTAGAACTCAAGAAGAGGCATAGACTCTGGGCATGAGTTGTGTAGGAACAGAAGAAAAAGTGGGGGAATGGAAGGAAAAGTATTAAACATTTTTATGACATTTGAGAGTTATCCATTTTTCCTTGATGTCACCTTTTTAAAGAAGTATACTTTATCAATTAAAAATCATTTCAATCTTTTATTGTAATTAAGAATTTTACATTTCTCTCTCAATCTAAATTTTTATTAGGTTTCACTTTAAAGCATTGGTTTTGACTGTGTATTAGTAAGTCTTCAAAGAATATACACCTGGACCTCTCGCTCAGTAATTCTCATATAGTAGATTAAGGAGGAAAGGGACCTCTGCATGTTTACTGAAAAGAAAAACAAATATCTCCCAAGTGGTTATGAACTCCCAAATGGAGCCACATTTTTAAATGGTCCATTAGTCTTCTAGGTTCAGTAGTAGAGCTACATATAATGGAAAAATTTAACTAAAATTTTTCTGACCCATTCACCCAAAAAGCATTTACTCTAATCAAAGAAATTAACCCAAAGTATGCCTGATTCTCCAATTATAAGTGGGCTTTATAGGAATGAAATAAAAAGCTACTGTATATCCAGACCAATGACAGGACAAATTTCCAATGATTCTCAAATTGTGGGTACCAATTGGTAAAAACCTGGAAACTCGTTAGAAATGCAAAGTCTTATAGACTTAACTGAATCAGAAAATCTGGGAATGTGTTTTAACAAATCCACCAGGTGATTCTGACACTCAAGTTTGAGAGCTGCTGGCCCTAGGCAGGCACTGCAGTCATCCTTATACTAATCAACAAAATAGGTTTATTTACACATTTTAAAGTGATATTCCCTGACACTTGCTATGGACCACAGGGGTGTATGTACCCAAAGCACTGGCTGGGTATCAGCTCCATCAGTGAATTAATAATTATTGTTCAGATAAATAAAATTCTGAAGTTGACTGACAGAACAGAAAATTATGAATTTCTTGATGTGTCTCTCCATTTCAGATTTTAACAGAATACAAAACACTTATGCCCCTGTTTTATCTCTTGCTATAACACACAAACATACATAGCATGTGGTTTTCGGCTCAATCCAAGATCTTTATTTTCACTGATTCTTCAAGATGTCTGCAGCAACCACGGCAATTTGGCCAAATGCTTCCGTGAGAGTCTGACTGGTTAGCTCAGAATATTCAGAATATTAGCATTCAAAGCTTTGACTGATATGAATGCCAGTAACTGCCTGTGTGGTAGACTAATGAGTGAACAACAGAGATTATAGAGTTGGAAGAGCTGTCTTGCCAGCCCTTGAAACTCTTGGTGACCAGCCCTCTGTGGTTCTATTTACGAGCAATAGAATGATAACAAAGCTCTTTAATGTCTGGGGAAATATTGCAAAACTATGGTAATAATTTACTGAACTGGATTTTTCAATTAAAAGCAGAATACTTACGGAGCCATAGAGCTTCCCCTTCTTGTTCATGGCTAAATAATAGTTGCTGTTAATAGCTTTCACAGCAACAACTCCGATCTCCACTGAAGTTATCTCCAGGATACCTACAACATACAATTTAAAAAGGCTGAACTTAAAGAGTCACATATATTTAACTGAAAGAAATAAAGGTCAGAAGAAGCTATTGTTCATTTTTAATGGTTCCCAAATCAAAAAGATGGGGGTCAGGGGAACACACCTTTTCCACTTTGCCTAAAAACACAATCACTATGTGGGAAAAAAATAGTCTTTAAATGAATTCCCCTGCATTTTGCTCTGAGCATGTAGGGGAAAATATTGTTTTAATTAAAATACTTCCTTTGCTAACTCTGCATTTTCAACCCTATAAATATTGAAACAACTCTACTCATCTCAGCCTAGATTTCACAAAAAAATTATCAGAGCACACATCTGTACTACGGTATTAAACTAAATCTATAGCATATGTCAATAATATGTCAGATTTACTTCAATCTGTAAAAACACTGGTAAACTATTACTTCTTTGTAGGACTCAGATAAACTAAATCTCTTGGCTGCATTTAACTGATAAATTTATTTTTGGCAAATGTGTTGACATTCTAAAATATAGAGAGACTAATCCCAATGTCCACATTGTCTTTAAAATAGCAGAATTACTAGTCTGGGTTGGGAGAGAATCCATCAATACTTTTGAAAGTTTTAGTTTCTTTTTTTGTTAGAAAGAAAGAAAAACTAAGGGGACTGGGAACTGATAGGTAAGAGATCTTTTCTCCTAATACACAAGTTTTGGTTAGTGCATTTAAAGATAATTTTCTCTGAAAAGTTGGTAGGTAAACTATCTACTTAAAATGTCGCCCTAGCTTAGGTAAAGAGACCTCAGGTACTATACCTGCTTCTTATTTTTGAACTCTTGGGAAAGCTGTCTCAGGGAAGAGAAGTACATTGTGATTAGCAAAGGCCTCTGAATCCAGACTGCATTTGAAGCCTGGCTTTGCAGTTACCAGTGAATAGCCACAGGAGAAGTTACTGAACTGCCTATGCCTCAATTCCATTTGTAAAATGAGCAGCATATTAGCACCTCCCTTCTAGTTTTATGAGGATTAAATGAAAGTACATATAAAACAATTAGACATTGCCTAGAGCTCAGTGCCTTCTTGATTATTATGAGAGGAAAGTTTTCCTCTAACAGTCACTGAGTTTGAAACTTCTTCTTCAACAGGCTATGTAAATCCTGAATAAGACATACAAATTCCCACTAGCTTAGCCCATAAAATCAGAAAGCTAATATAAGTTAGCATTTATCCTGTACTTCCTATCATTAGAAACACCATCCTAAATGTGGTCAACATATTGTGTGCTTATACTTTTCCCAAAAAGAAAGAGTGTCCTACAGACACGGACACCTTTTTTTCTTTGTCCACATGCTGACAAGCCATGTTAGTCACGTTATGGCTAGTAGAAGGGCTTTCATGCCCCAAAGCAAAGCTGATGTCACTCGAGGGACTTGGGCCAGACTACCTGCCATGGTCCATTCTGTTCTTATATCCTATAGGAAGCCTGTGACCTAACACAGCACACCTCCTCATTAATAGAGTGAGACAGATCTCTTTTGGCAAGCTCAGACAAGGGAAGAGTGTGAAGAGTGAAGGAGACAGTATCTGTACTTTTGTTCTGTCTTGTTTTATTGAAGTGTAGTTGGTTTACAATGTTGTGATATTTTCAGGTATTCAGCAAAGTGATTCATATACATATGGTGTTGCAAAGAGTCAGATACGACTTAGCAACTGAACAACAACAATATATATGCATATATATGTGTGTGTGTGTTTCAGATTCTTTGCCATCATAGGCTATTTTGGGCTTCCCTGGTAGCTCAGACAGTAAAGAATCTGCCTGCAATGCAGGAGACCTGGATTTGGGATGATCCCCTGGAGAAGGAAATAACTACACATATACGTGGGTATCTTTCAGTTTCTTTTCCATTATAAGTTATTACAAGATATTAAATCAGTATCTGTGTTTTTGATATCCCATTCCTTATGCTAGTAGTTGTCCTCAAGGGACAAACACATACATTTATTTGCACATGTTAAAAAGTACTTTTTTCTACTTTGTTTCTTTAATTTTCACAATGTTCGTCTGAGGTAGGATTATTCTCAATTACAGATGAAAAGTTGGATGATGATACTGAGGTTTTATAACTCACACACAAGGTGAGAAAGTGACATAGCTCAATTATGAGGGACCCAACACCTATGTCTTCTCACTTTCAGATCGTTCTCGTCTCTGTCTCTGACTGTGTTGCCTCTCCATCATATTTCTTGCTTCTTTCTTGTTTCCACAAGGGAATTCTGCTGGAAAACCAACTGACAAAATGACTCATCAAGATATCAGTCTTTAACAACTTAATAATGTGCTTTTCTTCCCAAGGATTTGGCATGCCATGGAGGATGATGTCTGAGTGTCAGGGAAGGAATTCTAATATGCTTTATTTATGTCACAAGCAGAAGATATAGAACAAGGCAATGATAGGAATCTGGGGCAAATATATAGGCTGCTATTTGTTTTACCTGCCAAAAAAGGCAAGTAAGTAGTATCAGTAAATAATACGATAAGCCCTATGTGTGCTTTTTAACTGGAAATTGTTAGAATGAAAAAGGTTGATTTCAGCAAAGAATTATAAAGATTTTTAAATGAGAACAAATAGAATTAAACTATAGTAACAGACTGAGTTGGCAAAAGGAAAACTGTTCTGGTGAAATAAATGTTGACAAATCGTCGACTGATTATTTCTGAGTGCACTGCACATGGTAGATTGTATTTATGCTCAGAAATGCTTGGGTTTCTTTTTGTTTTGCACAAAATAGGAACACAATATTCGAAGAATTCACCAATCAGCTAACCATTTTTCTTACTCTATAATCAGTTAGGGCTAGCTTGAAAATCTTCAGTATGCTTCAAAATACAAAGAGGAAGACCTGGATGATTTAAGTTCTTTTGAGTTCTGAAAATAAACTTTTTGATACACCATATATCAGTAAGTCAGAATTCAATAATTTTGTGGGTAAAGGACAGTTCAGTTCAGTTCAGTTGCTCAGTCGTGTTCAACTCTTTGTGACCCCATGGACTGCAGCATGTCAAGCTTCCCTGTCCATCACCAATTCCCGGAGTTTACTCAAACTAATGTCCATTGAGTTGATGATGCCATCCAACCATCTCATCCTCTGTCGTCCCCTTCTCCTCCCACCTTCAATCTTTCCTAGCAGCAGGGTCTTTTCAAATGAGTCAGTTTTTCACATCAGGTGGCCAAAGCATTGGAGCTTCAGCTTCAGCATCAGTCCTACCAATGAACACCCAGGACTGATCTCCATTAGGATGGAGTGGTTTGATCTCCTGCAGTCCAAGGAACTCTCAAGAGTCTTCTTCAACACCACAGTTCAAAAGCATCAATTCTTCGGCGCTCAGCTTTCTCTATAGTCCAACTCTCACATCCATACATGACCACTGGAAAAACCATAGCTTTGACTAGACTGACCTTTGTTGGCAAAGTGATGTCTCTGCTTTTTAATATGCTATCTAGGTTGATCATTACTTTTCTTCCAAGGAGCAAACATATTTTAATTTCATGGTTACAGTCACCATCTGCAGTGCTTTTGGAGTCCCAAAAAATAAAGTCTGTCACTGTTATCATTTTTTCCCCATCTATTTGCGATGAAGTGATGGGACCAGATGCCATGATCTTAGTTTTCTGAATGTTGAACTTTAAGTCAACTTTTTCACTCTCTTTCACTTTCATCAAGAGGCTCTTTAGTTCCTCTTCACTTTCCGCCATAAGGGTGGTGTCCTCTGCACATCTGAGGTTACTGATACTTCTCCCACAATCTTGATTCCAGCTGGTGCTTAAAGGACAATGACTTGTTATGAATTTCTTTGAATGTGCGAGTGACTTTCTAAGAAACTCAAGTCTAAAGGACTTGTCTATTTTTTTTTTAGAAAGAATCTCTCCCATGTTCTCTGTTCTTTGTTAAGGATGATCAAGTTTGCCTACAAAATACCTCTGGAAAGTATGTTTCAGAGTTGTCACATTAATAACTTATAGTTCTATGGGTGTACACTTTAATGCAATATTGAATGCCAATTGGACAGCCTCCTAGGGGAAAGTGAGAAACAAGGCAGGAAGTTGTTAAGAAGTAAGGGTGGGGAGTTGTCAGAGTCAAGGTATCAACCATCTTCTACTGACTCTAAGGATTCTGGCAAACAGGAAATATTTTATCTAAAAATATGTAACAGTTTAAAGAACATATTAGAAAAAGCCAATTTTTAAAGCAAATTCCTTTAAGTAAATAATAGCAACATATGGTTTGAGTTATATGTGAAATCTTAATAATGTTTGATAATCTAATAAGAGTTATTGTGACAAAAAAATTAGCTCCTATTAATTGACAAAATCTACCTAATGATGCAGCATCACTGTAGTAATGGGGAGGATTTTGAAAACTGATGAACTCCAAATGGAAATAATCTGGACTTCATAATTTTCATGTAAATCAAGTTTTTTTTTTTTAACTTTAGGGCAAGAGTTATGTTTTGATGAATCACTGAGTTGTCAATCTCATGATGCAGCCATTCAGAAACATTATTCCCAATTTCTGTCTCTCATCTATCTCCAGAAAAGAAGCATCTAACCTGTTTTTTCTCCAGCAATACACTGGACCAAGACTACTCTTTTTGGTCCATGATAATAAACAAGCTATTGGCCTAGATGGTAACTTTCTCCTTAAATAACTTCTCATGAATGTAACAGGAAAAGGAAAGTAAACGTGATTTATTAGTAACAGAATGGATATATACAAGGGGGCAGTGAAACACAAAAAAATGGACGCAAAGTCTGATTATCCTCTCCTGGATAAACAGAACTTGCATATATAAATCAATCCTGGAGATTATTTGAGTAAATTAATTCTGCTAGAACATTCAGTTCAGTTCAGTCGCTCAGTCCTGTCCGACTCTTTGCAACCCCATGGACTGTATCATGCCATGCCTCCCTGTCCATCACTAACTCCTGGAGCTTGCTCAAACGCATG